ATTTACTTCACTTGGGAAAAGAAATATATAAAAAATAGAAAAACCTTCTTAGTGTCAGTGTAATACGAGAAAAGAATATAAGAATATAAATATTGAATGCAATATTTAAATAGTTAATTATTATTTTTTACCAGGAAGAGGAAAGTGTTCGGAACGAAGTGGAGCCGCCGGAAACGCCGAACGCGAACTCGACCACCAACTGCACCTCCACTGATTTAGAGAGCGAGACAGTGAATCACGAAGAATCTACTACAGAAAATAATCACGAGCCACAGTTGATAGTTCGAGGCATTTTAGAAGACGTAGTGAACTCGGTCGTCCCTGAAGACACGACGAACGCGAACACTATCACTCCGGAGGAGGCTAGCTTGGACCAAGTGCCTATTGATGAGAATTCTGACGAAACCGTTGCTGAGACCGATAATATGGTCCGGGCGAAGTTCACTCATGTACTTCAGAAGGACGCGTTTTTAGTTTTCAGAGCTCTCTGCAAACTGTCTATGAAACCACTTCCTGATGGCACTCCGGATCCTAAGTACGAGACACTCTTAATTTATTCAATATACAAAATGGGCCATTTTAATCGAAACACCCAAATATCTAAAAATCTTTACTTTTAAATCACTTTCAGAATCCCTAGCTCAAGGTTAATGGTACCACTCAAATATCGCTGTCCAGAAAAATGTCGAGGGTACCCAACAATTTTTATCTAAACCATTTTTCTGGACAGAGATATTTGGGTTGTTCGATTAAAATGGCTCACCATGTATAGAATGATGTATAGAATGATTAAAAAATATTATTTATTATTATTTAATTTATTTATTAACATCTTTATTACATTTAGACGTGCCGCCTATTGTAATCTTATCTTTTACATTCTGTGTACAAGTCATGGTTTCTGTGAATGGACTTAGTGCTTCTATACAATCCTAATAATATTAATAATCCAAGTAGGTTGTACGACCCTTACATGCCTATGCCATATGAATTTCCACCGATCCCAGTCATGCTCCGATTTATAGTTTCCCATGCTTTGTATTTTATTCATCCAAACAGAATGCACAAAGTTTCATGCTATTTTTATGATTAAAAAATAAATTGCATACAACAATTCATTTAATAAT